TTCTCCCGGGTGTGGACCTGCTCCGGACGGACAGATGGGGGCGGGCACTGTGTCCCTCCCAGTGCTGGGCACGAGGGAATTGCAGAGTGTTCTCCCTGTGCGGACGGTGGACGGGCGGTGCCACGCCCTCTGCTGGTGGAGAATCACAGCTTGAATGTCACGCGGTCTCTGTCACTTTCCCACCCTGCAAAGCCTTCATCACCACTTGGGGATTTTCTCGCTTTCCCTTCCAGCACCAGGAACATTCCAGACTCCATGGAAACGGGCACTGCCTCTGCCCGTCCCCAGGGGTCAGCAAGCCTCACACAGTGCCTGCCCAGGGAACGTGCGGATGGATTCAGCCTCCGCCCATGCTGGGTCTCCCGCAGGCAGCGTGCCTGGCGAGGGGGGCCTGCCCCGGGGGGGGGGCTGCTCACCCCTGTGGCAGTTAAGGAATCCCACACTAATTTAGAAACATTTGTCCCACGCTCTACGTTGTACACTATAGGTGTCAAAAATGCCTGTGTGAACTCATAATTTGTACATTGACTCAGAATACGTAAAATTCTAAATGCTGTGTAAGGGTAAAGATAGGAGACAGGGGTTAGCCCAGCAGTAATAAATGCGCCAGTTAGGATGCTGAGGCCCCACGTCCTGGGTGACACCAGCTCTGGTTCCAACTCCAGATTCCCGTCACTGCAGACCCGGAGGCAGGGCCGATGGCTCACGTGACTGGGTTCCTGCCACCCACAGGGGAGACCCGGATGGAGTTCCTGGGTCCTAGCTTTGGCCCTGGCCCAGCCCTGACCACTGTGGCCATCTGCAGAGTGCACCAGGGAGTGAGCGCTTTTTTTTTATCTGTCTCTGTTTCAAACAAAAAGCAGAACACTTATGGAGACGTGTATACTAGCCATCCCTTTAATCATTTGGCAAACAAAAATTTCTGTTGCAAGGCAATAGATCAGATTTTCAAACTGGGCTTTCCCATAGGAGCGTCCTTGGGGGCGGGGGGCAGAGCCTGCTGTGACTTCCCCCGGGTAGGGGGAGGTGTTCCGGGGTCTCCCGCCCTCTGCCCCTCCCCTCCCGGTGCCATCATCCCTGCATCGGGGAGCCGGCCGGCCCGCTCACGCCCTCGGCTTCCTCAGGGCCGCTCTGCGGCTGTGCGCACTGTGCCATTCCTCGGGCAGCCTTCCCGGGGAGGACGGGCGGCCCACCTGCTTTGGCACCTGCTGCGTGGTGCTCCGCCGTTTCTGGTGTGTGCAGCTCGTCTCCCCGATGGCCCTGGGAGCTCTGCGGGAGCACGGCTCTACCTGTGCTTCCCTAGTTTGCCCCTTTATGTCTCACACCCCTGGGAAACGTGTCGACAAGACTTGGAAGTCAGCGTTCGGTCTCTTGTCGCCCGACTCCTGGTTCTGGAGGCAAAGAGCTGGGAGCCCCTGGAGCCCCTGCCAGGGCTGATCTACCTCTGCCCGCAGTGCCTGTGCCCGTGGGGACAGGAAGCTTTGCACCGCACTCCCACAGGGCCCGGCACCCCGTGTTCAGATGACACTGCCCCGGGATGTCAGGTCTCTTCCTGAATCCCCGCGGTTTGCATCTCCTACTGCACAAGAGGACACTGTCCCAAGGGCCAGCGCTCAGTGTCAACGCACCTCTCAGAAGAGGGCCAGGAAGCGCGCGTCTGGTTAAGACAGCTGCTCCCTACTCTGCGGAGAGCTGTGTCTGTAAGCCCCTGGTGGGAATGCTTCCCGTGGAGGTGGGCGCCTCCATCTGCGCGGCCGGTTCTGCGTTTCCCGTGGCACCGTGAATGCGTGCATTTCCGTGCCTCTGTCCAGCTCTGATTCTTTCTCTTTCATTTTCTCCCCCAAATTCTGTCCTTTCTTCAAAGGGGGAACATATCAGTGGGAGAGAAAATAGCTCAAAGTTTTTGAAGAGAATTAGGGAACACACACTTAGTGTTTACACTGTAACCCTGTGCTGAGCCAGTGTTTCAGATCGGTCCTTCCTTACCTTCTCTCTGTATCAGAGCCCCACCTGTAGACGCATTTTCCACCTCTGTAGCCCCTGCAGGCTCCGCGGTTCTCACCAGCAGTGCTCTGTCTGTGCACACCTCACGGTGACACGCTGGTTTGTGGAGTCGTGGCCTGAGGTTTGGTGTCTGTGTGATGGCCGTCTTCCCAGTGGTTAGTAGCACAGCTCTTAACTCTGTTCTTCTGATGAGTACTTCTGAAAGGACTATCAGGTCAAAGCCATTCGCCACTGTTTCCCAAAGTCACAGAACCCTAAAACTCCATCAAACACATGCAAAACAACCCTTCAATCTGGGCTTATAATAGAAGAAGGAAAAGCATGAGAAAGGAGTATGAGAGAAGCATTCATTCACTCCATAAATAATTGAGCACCTGCTGTATGCTGTAGGCTGAAGGCGCTGTTCTGAGCATGTGGGTCCGTGGGGAGATCAGAAGCCCAGACGTCTGGGTCTGTGAAGGCCTCGTTCTCCTGGGGGAAGGCAGGTGGTGAACGCAGCCATGAGCGTGCTGGTTGTACGCCAGCCCGGGTGCTGAGTGCCCAAGGACAGAGCAGCCGACAGCAGGCACGGGGACAGCGGGAGGCGTGGGGTTCATCACGCAGAGGCTGGGGGGCAGTGCTGTCGGGGGCACCCGGGTAGAGGTGGGCAGGGAGTGAGCAAGTCAGTCACGCAAGGTTGACCTGAGTGCGCCCCAGGCTCCGGCCAGACAGCGTGAGCCCCAGAGAGCAGCGAGGAGGCCGGTTGGAGGAGGGAGTTCACAGCCAAGTCTGCAGTGGCTGCGGCCGGCAGGAAGGCCTCTGGCTTTCACTGGCGTCCCCAGAGGAGGCTGTGGAACGGCCACCCTGGATGGAAAGCAGGCACTGGGCCTGTTCTCCCCCTGGAATCCAGGTCCCTGCATGGGACTAGGGAGCAGTGACCGGTCTCCAGGGCTGGTCCTGATGTGCGGTTACTCAGAACTGCTCCTCGGTTCAAGCCCACGCACTCTGAAGTCCCTTCTTAGACCTGCCCGCCCTCTCCCCGGGCAGCTGTGGCAGCCTTGGCAGCCTTAGCAATGGCCCACGGGGGCAGGGAACAAGTGGGCAGTGGGACCACGGCTGGACTCGGCCTTCCCAAGACAGGGCCAGCAGCGGCTTAGGCTTCTGGTACTCCCTGCGGGAGGCGGCCGGACCCAGGAGGCGAGGAGGGGCAGTGCACGGTGGGCAGCAGCGGTGTGACACCCAGCAGAGAGCCCATGGCCATGCAGCCCCCTGTTCTGTGGCTTCCTGGACTTTCCAAGGCCTTTGTGCGGCTGAGGGTTAGCTCTCTGCTGGGCCAAGGGACGGGCCCCGCAAGGACTTCCAGGGTTCTGGGAGGCCTTGGGATGGGGGCCGTGCCGGGGATGCACGCGGCCGTTCTGGCCTGAGCGGTTGAGACAGCAAATCCGAAGGAGGGCTCCGTCGCCGGTGGGCTTCCTGCTATTTCAGGAGGGGCGTCCTGGGGATGTGGGAAAGTGTGTTTGTTAAAAGTCCGATGCTTGCTGGTGGGCAGGCCAGGCTCACCGCGCGCCCGGGTTGGACCGCAACTCCGGCCGGGTCCTGGTGTGGACTGGTGCCCTGTCAG